TGATAGTCCGACACCAGCCACAGCTGCGTCCACGTGCCGTTATCTGAGACGAGAACAGAGCCGTTAGACAGACCTCCACAAACACCAAGCCTGAGACTGTTCAGCACAGGACACTCAGAAAGACTAAATAAACACTGTCAGGTGTCAAATGCATGCATTCGGCAGGTAAAATATCAGGCAAAAAAACACACAAATTTACTGATTCATTTGAATCTGATTCTGATTCAGTTCGTTTCTTGGTAACCTTACAGGTAACCTGCAGAGTCACACGTGTAACTACTGTAAAATCAATCAATTACAATCGAGTAGGGATGCACAGATACGGAAATTTTGGCAGATATTTTTTTTTTATATTTGAAAGCCGATAACCGATATATCGGCCGATAATTCTGAATCTTCCTTGTTATTAAATGTATCTTGAAACTGATGCACTTATTGAACAGTCTTATCAATAATTAGCCTATTATTATTATGTATTGTTTGGGTGTGCACCTTATATAATCACCATATTTACAATGAAACGATCATATTCAAAATTATGATATTAATCTTATCATATGTGACCCTGGAGCACAAAAGCAGTGTTAAGTTGCTGGGGTATATTTGTAGCAATAGCCAACAATACATTGTATGGGTCAAAATTATAGATTTTTCTTTTATGCCAAAAATCATTAGGATATTAAGTAAAGATCATGTTCCATGAAGATATTTTGTAAATTTCCTACTGTAAATATATCAAAACTTCATTTTTTATTAGTAATATGCATTGCTAAGAACTTCATTTGAACAACTTTAAAGATGATTTTCTCAATATTTAGATTTTTTTGCACCCTCAGATTCCAGATTTTCACATATAAAACCAATAAACACTGTCACATCATAACACTAACTCTGTAAACTGCGGCTGCAATAAAACGGTCTAAACCAAACGATATAAGCATAAGAAATCATCAATAACATGCACAACAAATACTAATCAGAAATAAAAAAAAATATATCATACATATATAAATGCATTACACAAAGCATAACCATGTGTGGGAAACAATGACTGCTCTTTGTTTTGTTTTCTGTGGTTCGGCCTAAATTTGACATTAACAAAAAAAACAAAAACATTTATCGGCCGATATATCACGCATCCCTACAATTACGGTAAGACCCATACTCTCGTCCCAGCATGCACCAGTGCTGCTGACCTTTGTTGTCGGCGGCGATGAAGCCGAGGATGTTCTCGTGCCGCAGCATCACGGTCTGGTAGATCTCAGCCTCGCGGAACCAGGAGCGCTCCTCTCTGGAGGAGAAGATCTTGACGGCCACCTCCTCTCCTCTCCACTTGCCCCTCCACACCTCCCCGAAGCGGCCCTTCCCGATGCTGTCCTGCAGGATGATGGTCCTGGCGATGGTCCGCTGCACCAGCAGAGGAAGCCCTGCACCAGAGCACACACACGCAGCCGTTACAGAACATACTGGACCTACAACATCCAGACAGATTCTGCTCATATATCAACCTTCTTTTTCCTTTTGCACTCTATGAATATCAATAAATAAATAAATAAATAAATATGGACTTTACTCATTACTGGTTATTTGATTAATTTGATCAAGTAGCATATTTTGATATATATATATATATATATATATATATTTGTTTTTTTGTTTTTTTTTGACAACTTCAATTAATTGTTACAAATTTCTGTAAATGTGCAAATATACACTAATGATCAAAAGTTTGGGCTCGGTAAGATTTTGAATGTTTCTGAAAGAAGTCTCTTCTGCTCACCAAAGCTGCCTTTACTGCATCAAACATGCAACAAAAATTGTGAAATATTATTACAGTTTATAACAGCTGTTTTCTATGTGAATCTCTGTTAAACTGTAATGTATTTCTGTGATGCGCAGCTGTATTTTCAGCATCATTACTCCAGTCTTCAGTGTCACATGATCTTCAGAAATCATTCTAATATGCTGATTTGCTGCTCGAGAAACATTTCTGATTATTATCAATGTTGAAAACAGTTGTGCTGCACAATATTTTTGTGGAAACTGTGATACATTTTATTTTTCAGGATTCACAGATGAACAGAAAGTTCAGAAGAACAGCGTTTATTTGAAATAGAAATCTTTTGTAACATTATAAATGTCTTTACTGTCACTTTTCATCAATTTAATGCGTCCTTGATGAATAAAAGTGTTAATTTCTTTCCAAAAAAATAGGGTATCTGCCGTCACAGCAGACCTAATCACATCCCTGCACTAAACTCAGACGGCTCACGTCAGGACGAATGGATCTCAATCCACAAATGAGTGCTAAACAGTGTCCTGAGGATCAGTGAATTAAGCCAGTTTCTGACACACTGATCTACAGCAGCAAGAAAGTGGAATGAAACACATCAAATGTCATGCAATCCACAATAAATAGGAGCGACATGTCAATGAGAGATCATTGTGTACAGAAAAACGGAGAACGGCAGAGACAGACATGAGACGAACAGATGAAGATGTGTGCGATACGAGCCTCACTCATGAGGTCAGAGATTCAGACTGAAGACGTCTAAAAGACTCCAGACAGACTAAACGCATCAAGAAATAGCAGAACGGGGAGAAAAGAGGCTCTCTTACCGCCGAACACATGCAGACAGACGTCACACATTCTCTCTGAAGCGTCCTGCAACACGCACTGTGTTTTTAAATGTCATGTCACTTTAAACGTATTGATTTTGAACATTTGCACATTCATAAGAAAGATTTGATAATATATGTGACCCTGGAGCACAAAAGCAGTGTTAAGTCGCTGGGGTATATTTGTAGCAATAGCCAACAATACATCTCAAGGGTCACAAATCAAAAATAATCTCTTTAGATTATTAATATATAAAGCATACTGACAACTCTCCGTGAAATGTCTCGCCAATCCATTAAAGCGACAGCTCACCCAAAAGTGAAGTTTCTGCCATCAGTGACTCTCTCGTGTCGTGCAGATCTTATGGCTGTCAGTCATCTTTGGAACACAAATGAAGATATTTTTAATGAAACCGGAGAGATTCACGTTTTTCACGATTCAGAACCACTGAGGTTTAAACACATCTGACATTAAAAATATCTTCATGTTTGTTTTGAAGATGAAAGTTTGTTATGGTTTGGAACAACATAAAGGTGAGTAAACGATGTGAGAATTTGGATAATCCCTTTAAATGCCGTTTAAATGGAGCGTTTCCATATTTACAGGGTTTTCAGAAGAACAAGTCTTCTAAGTTTTCTAAAACTAGTGATGGTGTTTAAGATATTAAAGAAAATGGTTCCAAAGTATCTGTCAGATTATTATGTATTTGTAAGAGATGTTCACTGTCATTCTACAAGGGCGAGTAGTAATGATATATATTATTGAGCGTGTTTTGTATATACTAGCTCTGTTGCTTGGAATAAATTACCTGAGTGTATTAAATGTTGATAGTATTTTTAGAAGGGAACTTGTTTCATCATTGATGTTTTGAAGTTTGTGTGGTGAGTTTCTGAACTAGATGTTGATGATTTGTTCGTCTATTTTAAAATACCGAGGACCACAATGGAAATAAGCCGATGGCTTTTTTGTGCATTTTATCCTTGACAGTTTTGAAATGTGTATGACGTAGTCTTTTTGGACTTTTTTGTATAATGTTTTAATTTTTGTCCAATAAAACACAAACAAACAGAAGTAATGATAGAGAACCGAAACCAATATCATTTCTGCATTCCCATTTTTCTCCAGTAGCAAAAGTGGGGAAAAACTTGATGGCATTTCTATGACTTCAAACGAGAAGAGAGAAATCAGGCGTTGTATTAGAAACAGCCACACAGCAGCGTTAACTCGTCTTCTGTAATTCAATGCCAAATGAATATAACACAAGGATAGTGTTATAAATGCACTTGAAAATATAGAAAACTTCAAATATAAAGATATTCCTAAAAGCTATTTGATGTTAATAACTGCGTGCATTCTGCTCCGTCACATTGACTCTGGCTCCAGTTTACATGCAACTGATACAGACTTTGGGATTGATTGATTGATTGATTGATTGATTGATTATTGCCATGTCAGCAGCAAGGCTATCTTCATTGGCAAAAACAGAATAAATAACACTTAACAAGAAGCTAAGACATTTAAGGTTAATACTAGACAAAAAATCTTAAAATGCATTCATGTAACACTTTTTTTTAAATGCATCAGTGTCTATTTAGGTTAAAAACAGCAGAGTCCGTCTTTGGGAGTGATGTTGAAGAGTTATTATGTTGATTATGAAGAGGGTCTTAGAGGAGTTAAAGCCTGGTTACACATGCAGACGTGTGAAAAGTTGTTGTAATTAAAATTCTAATTGGAATGAAAGTCTGTTCAGACTGACACAAACATGCACATGCCGTTACTGCGACGTGTTTCCTAACCTCTTTTACTTCACACTGCAACAACAACAAACAAAAACAACAACTACCAGTACAGTATTCACGCTTTTGGTTACACAATCTCACAAAGCGACGACTAGGTGGCGCTCACGAGCAGACTGTTATGCCAAGCGAACAGAAGAGGAGGAATCCAGAACTGGACTCAGACTGGAAGAATCAAGACTCTTTCCGCGAACTGGCTCTTTTGGACAGCTGTTCAAATACCTGATTCACTAAGCAATCACGCAGTGATGCGATGATAATGTGTGAAACGTGTCTAAAGCACATAAAGTGAATAAACTAGTCTTAATCAACTCACCTTTATACATAAACCACATTACTTTACTACATTATTTATCATTAACAACGGAACATACTAAAGCATTTATCAATCTTACGTTTATGTTGATTCCAACGTTTACTAATGCATTATTTAAGTCAAAAGTTGTATCTGTTAATGTCATTTAATGAACCTGAGCTGACATGGACTAACAATGAACAGCTGTTTTTATTAACTAAAGTTAACAAATGCGGTAACAAACATACTGCTCACTGTTAGTTAATGTTAGTGAATGCATGGGTCTGTACAGACATACTGTACACGGAAATCAGACCGATTTTTTGTGCTGGTGTGAACACGCCCTGCTCTTTTAAGATAAGTACATCTTTACACTGGCAGCCGGTGTTTAATGCCTGCCGTGCAACGATGCTGGTGACACACAAACTACACACAAAGAGAAGAGCAGACACGCAGACACATAAAAGAGCGCAGGTGCTCAGAAAGACAAACACGTAGTTATATGAAGTGAAAAGCGTGTAAATAAAGCAAGAATAACAGGAATCTCCCGGAACGTTTCTCGTCAGTCAGACATGGGCGTAAAGACACGACTCGATACCTGAAACACGTATTAAGCCAAGCATTCACTACAAGACAGAAAATGACCAGCGGTGCACATTCAAAGCAGTGATGTTCAGGGAGCAAACGAATAAAATATCAATATTTAAAAAAACTTATTTTTACTTCAGCTAGGCAACATTTCTTATATTTAAGGTATCTTTGAAAACAACAAAAGCTAAAAAAAAATTACTAAAAACTAAAAATAACACGAAAGCAGAAAAAATCTAATCAAATTCAAAATATTAACTAAATATTAATATTAACTATAACAGTATCTCAAAGATAGAAAAATAAATTAAGCTGAAATTAAGCTGAAATGAAAATATAAATATTATATGAAAAACGTAAACTTAAACATATCAGTTAGTTGCCAAGACACCACATTTATATATATATA